ATTTTATTTTTTTGTTCAGTTGATATAATGGGTTCACGTCAAGCATATCTTCTTCGAAAATTACGTGAATCATCAGTATTAAATCATCCACATATGTCACCTTTGCTCGTTTCTGATGAAATTTTACGACAATTTCCAACAACTTATCTTATTGTAAGTTCTTTATTTCTATCGTACTAGTTAACCATTTGTTTTCTCATTTTAATCTATATCAACGAACTAACAATTTCTATCACAGTCAATCTACTCATTGTTAGGTGTAACTATACATATCAAAGAAACTAATGATAAAAACAGTAGTAATACTTTATCATAACATGAATCAGCTGAAAAGTTGAATCTTCGACTTGGTTCTGTTCATAATATTTTAAGTCATTGAGAACGAGTCTCGTATGAAGATAAACAAGAATACTAGACGAGAATTTGATGGTAGATATCATAATTCATCGAAAACTAAGGACACAATATAGAAGTAATAGATCTAACGAGAGAAAGAATTGTAGATGAATAAGAATATCATATGACTGATACTTTCAGAAGAGAAATTTTCTTGCATTCTTCATCACCTAGTGAAAACTTCTGAACTACACCAGTATCAGAGACAAGGTTAAAAGGATTTAGAGTCATGATCTACTAATAGAGATCTATGAATGTTTCAATGAAATTGTTATTGAAGGTAAGGTGTTATCGAAAAATCCAAAACAAAGAGTTTAAACCTGAGAATGATTTTTAAGTCAACCCGTCTATTGTGTCTTCCTATCGTAAACCGTTCTTTTTTAGACATTAGATACCTTGAAAAAGACATGTTTGTTTTCGTTGAAACACTCAGGACTATCAAAAGCATCTATAGATTTAAAACTATTTGTTTGAAGTTTTTTGGAAATGTTTGATCTTCAATAAATATTTCATTCAAATATTCATAACTTCTTATGAATAGGTTATTAGCTCGAACCTTCTAAAGCTTGTAAAACTTCAATTTCTCTTCTTTATTCATCTAGCACTTAAATAGTATCTTGTATCTCTTTGTTTTTTTACAGCTTAGTTTTACTGTATTACATTTGAATAAAATAATGAATCCTTTTCAGGCATGTCATCTTGATCCATCAATAAATGATTCACTAACATTTGTTCGTCATCTTTATTCATTATCTGTTGAACATTATTCAATACTTGTGTAGAATTTAACATATGATTCTTTTAATTTTTATACTGCAAATAAGCATTCTAAAAGAGTATTTGATTAAATCATGAGTGAATATAACAGCAAAGATATGATACAAATGAAAAATTTTCATTATTAAATAAGAAAACTAACATTAACAATAATACAACACATTCGACTATGAATAAAATAATTTTTTCTTTCATATTTTTTGTTTTATTTTATTTCAGCCATGTGCTCGCGGTAAGTTAATTCATTATTATAAAATTCAATTCTTTTTTTTTTCACTTCGATTTATTATTTTAAAGATCCATTTATTGATGATAATGTTGAATTTGCACGTCGATTACGTTCTCTTAATGTTCCTCATCAATTAATTGTAGTCGATGAATGGCCACATGGTTATCTTGATTTTGGTTTTGTATCAGATGATGTTGCTAAATTTAATATTGAGATCATACGTATGCTTCAGAATATTGTTCAACAATCATATTCCAATGATACCGATGATCTTAGTTGCATAACAACTTATTTGTGACGAAATTTCTTTTTTTTTTTTAATTATGTCATTTGTATTTATAAACAAGACAGTATATATAACATTACTGTTGATAACATTCTATTTTAGCTGAAAGAATAAAGACTAATCATTCATTGTTTATGTAGCTATTGAAATTCTATTATGAGATTAAATCTAGATGTATTTCTATCTATCTATAACAATCATTTTATTATCTATTTGATAAAATCTATGATACACTCTAGTAAATGTAATGAGTTCAAGATGTCCTGGTACCAATATTTTACGGAAACTTTTGGGTACATTATGAAGTCTTTAGCAGTTAACTACAGAATGTTTCTAAATATTAAATCTACTAGCTTGTTGGAAAACTTTCTATAAGATGTAATACGTAATAAGATAATTCAACAATATTCATTTTCAATTCTTTTTCCCGTTGCAATAAGCGTCAAAAAAAATCTAAATAGTAATTTTAATAGAAATAATTGTTTTCAAAAAAAAAAGTGAAGAAATTAAGATTATTATCAAATTTCCAAAGACGTAGGCTTTTCAAAATCGTGTGTTCTTTTTTTTTTGAAATTGAATTGATCCCATCTCTGTGACGTTTCTTAGCTGAGATACAGTAATCTTACAGAAGCTTTTAAACACCAATTTTTCATCCCTGACGAAATTACTGTATAAATTATATTAGTGCGTTTTAGATGCTGAAAAAGTAGAATTTCAGTTTTTAGGAGCTCCTATCTTGAGAATCTGGTAATCAGTTTTATTCTCTTATGTGAGTATTTTCTTCATTTGAGTTACTATTTCGATTCCTTGTAGCACTTACGTATGCTATGATCTTCCTATTGTGATCTCTATGTCTGCACGATTATGATGTTTTAATGTATTACGTTCAAGATTTTTATGCATTTTTAAATCATCATTTATTTGAAAAAATCAATATAATTTTAGCAATTTAGGTAGAGACAAATAGAAGAAAAACGCGTTTGGGATGAGTCAAACCGTACGAACACGCTGTATGTCGGTAGACGAACATGTTTCGAGCAAAACGTGTGTTTCGAACATACGAACTAAGTTGTAATCATGAAAAAGTTCTGGAACAGCTTTACATATATGCAATGGGGAAAAGAACAAAAGCATCAGTGAAGTATTATACTTCGGATTACTTTAGAGTCGTTTTTTCTCTTCTTAGATATATGACAATGTTGAAAATTGTATTCCATAGTTAACTAAAATTATCTGTACGAAACGATACAAACACGAGGAAATATTACGGAAAAGCAAATGACAAGGGTAATATTTAATTTAATTTTTGCATTAACAAGTAAAGAAATTATTAATTGTTGTCAACGTAAAAATAAGGCTTTTCGATGAACGAGATGAAAAGCAAATATAACTATACTTTTGATGTGAAAATTACAGTTTCTACATGAAAAAAAAAAACATATGTTCGAACTATTCATTACTGCCATCTAGTCAAAATATATTGGATTTATTTTATACTCAATCTATATTTGCAACATTAAGAAGGTTCAAAATATATATCTTCGTTCTAGCTTTCTAGCGAATGAAAAAAACGAAACTTTTTCTTTTCTATAAATGAAGATATGGATGAAACAGTATCATATACGAGTTTCAATATCGGTAGAAATGTGGATTGGATTTTATTTAATATTCTTCGTAAATATTTTCAAACAACTTGTATAACAATATCAAAATGAAAAAAATCAATTCTTAGTTGTTTATATCAATATGAATTAAATCTTAAAACTGGTATTGTAAATTTTCATTTGATAATATATATATATATTAATTAATTTATCGTTGTTTTTCTTTTTTCAAGGACGATAACGATATTTATTTAATTGATCGTAATTAATATTGTATTAAAATAGTTCAAATAAATTCTATCTATAAATTCATCTTTGTTAAGGTAAATTAATTCTTAAAACAAATCAAAGAAGCTGAATTTTAATATATATACTAGCATTATTTGATCCCGTTAAAGAAACGATTCGTAAAAGAATAAACAAATATGCAATGATGCCTATAGGTTTTAAGAAATCATTGTATAGATATTTTGTTTTTGTAGAACGCTGAGAAATAGTTTATATTCATTTTTAGTTAATATAAAACGCATTCTTATCATTTGATAAAAAATGAAATATTACTTTTTTTCTTCTTTTCAGGATACAACAAATTATGTTTATCGATTACGAAAAAGAATTAACACACAATTAATTTCATCATCAAATGATAGTTGACATTATTTTAGTTATTTATCTATTGATTCAAGTTATATAAATCTCCATGGTGAAATTATAGATATTATTTCAAAATAGTACGATCGAAGAATACGAGAAAAATAATAATAATTATGTATTCGAACAAGTTAAAGTAGGAAATAATAATAAGAGAAAAACAAAAAAACTAATTTAATCTTTTTTTTGTTTTAGATTTTACAATACTAAGGCTCACAAAATATAATTCTCGTCGATCAAACGAGAAAAAAAATTTGGTTTTTTTTCTTCTATTATTTATGTTTTTTGGATATAATCTTCTTTTGTATTGTAATTATCGTATTATATGTGTGTATGCTGAAATTTTCAACGTACATATATTAAGTCAAAGCCTAAATATAAATATAAATACCTTTTCTTTGTTTTGTTTATTTTTGATAAAAAATATTTTTATGAATAAGGTCGATTACAGGTAGTTGCAGCTGTCGGTCTACATAACATTTTCCTTTGTCATTGTAGTTAAGACAAAAAAAAGCTCTTTTTTTTTTTTTTTTTTAAATTATTTTCTAGGAGTTTTTTAATAATAGAAATGTTTAGATGAAAGAAAAGATTATACCTCAGTTAAAATATTGAAAATCGATTAAAACTAAATAAATATATTGAAGCTCATAATTTTTTTTTTCCTTTCTTGAACCTCTTGTTAAGATGATAGATATATATAGATTGTTTCTATTCCTTATTGATGATAATATTTTCAAGATAGAAGAAAAGAAAAAAGAGAAGAGAATAGAAAGAGAATAAAGGACATTCCTTTCCTTGATTGTTGGTTACTCTCAAGAGTAGTTGTCTTGCTGCCGATTCGACGAATGTATAATGAGAAAAAGAAAGAGAAAAAAGAGAGAGAGAGAGAGCGAACGAAAGAAAAAAATGTAATGTTGGTAGCCTACATATATATATATATAAATAAGTAATAAAAGAGTCTTATATTTATAGAAGAAACAACACAATTTTTTTTTTTTTATCAGCAATCTATTATTGCTCAAAAAAACGGACGATTTCATAAGATATTCAAATACAAATGACTGGCCATTTTTTTGAAGGTGCAGAAAAATTATTAGAAATTTGGTTTACAACAAGTACAAGTGATACAATTAAATATACATCACGTAATGATTTACGAAATATTCCACGGTAAATTTATTATAATTTTCAAAACAAAAAAAAAAAAAAAATCTTATTAATTCTTATTTTTTAGAGATCTTATTGAAGATGTATTAAATTTAGTTAATTGTAAAGTACTTCAATATGCACAATCATCTACAACGGATACATATGTATTAAGTGAATCAAGCATGTTTATTTTTCGTACACATTTTGTTTTAAAAACATGTGGTGAAACAACATTACTTCATGCTGTTCAACCAATATTAGAACTTGCACGAGATTATTGTGATTTTGATATTGTTGATGTAAAAAAAATAGAGTTTATAATTTTAAGAAAATATTTATTTATTTATTTTTTAGCAAGTTTTTTATAGTCGTCGAAAATTTCTTCGACCAGAATTACAAAAATCACCACATACAAATTTCGAACAAGAAGTATTTAAAAAAAAAAAAAGTTGAAAAATTATGATGAAATTTTATTTTATTTATCTTTTTAGGTTGCTTATCTTGATTCATTTTTCGAAGGTAAATATACACATATCGATATTATTATACTGGACTTACTCAACTGATATAATTTCCTTTTTTTGTAGGTGGTAGTGCTTATGTCCTTGGTCGTACGAATGTCGATTGTTGGTGAGTCATTGTTTTGTATATAAATAAATTTTTCGAAAGATGTCGATAGAAAAAAAAAGAAATTCTGATTAATGATTATTATAATTTATATTAAATAACCAAAAAAGAAAAAATTAGAAATATTGTGCTTAGATTTTTGCAATTTATTGATTTTAATATTTCTATAGGTATTTATATACACTCGACAAAGCATGTATTCGTACTAAAACCGATCAAACATTGGAAGTTATTATGACGGATTTAGATCGAGAAAAAATGAAAATTTTTTATCAAGAAAATACAAATTCAGCAGCTGAAGCAACTAAAGTATGTTTATTTATGATTGTTTGTTTTTTCAATTAAATTCGAAAGTTAAAACTGTGAGCATTTTTTTGTTTTTTTTGAGAAAGAAATACTAAAGAAAAACGAAAATTTTTTTTTTGAAGATTGATTGAATGATTCCCATTTGTGAAAGATTTGATTTTCTTCTTTACTCTTCTTCATTATCCTATTGAAAACTATCAAATCATATATATTTAATTTGATCAAATTCTATTTTTATTTAATAGAAAGTTGGTATTGATAAAATTTTTCCAAATGCTAAAATATTTGATTATTTATTTGATCCATGTGGTTATTCAATGAATGGTCTTTTACCTGATGGTTATTATTTTACAATACATATAACACCTGAACCAGATTTTTCATATGTTAGTTTTGAAACAAATGTTCCATATCAACAATATAATGAAATAATACGTAAAATTATTTCAATGTTTAATCCAGGCAAATTTACAACAACAATATTTGGTGGAACGGTAAATTTTTCATGATATCATTAAATATATATTTATATATAATTTATTTATATATGTGTTTTTTTTTGTTTTTATTTTCTTTCTTAAATAGGCAGCAACTAGTCTTGATATACATCGTAAATTATTTTTATATTCGGATTATGCACGTATTGATCATCAAATTGTTTGTTTGGTTGATTATGATCTTATTTATAGTTATTATAAAAAACATCCGAGCTGAGGATTACGCAACACCGTCTACGTGTGTCATATAAGATCGAATGACATGCACGTACGACAGAGTGTTGCATATAAAATAATTAACAAAAATATGAAGATGAAAACAAATTATAATTTTAACACATTTATACAATGGCCATCATTATTTATAATAAATATGAAAATTAATCTTATTAAATTACATTTAATATCAAAAAAACGTAATAAAAAATTAAAATATGCATTTCATCACAATAAAAGAAAGTATAGATAATATTTACTGTAATATTAGAATTCTTATGAGTTTAGTTAGTCCCGGTGTAAGATCTGTATTTGTTTTTGTTTTTTTTCTCTCTCTGTGTTTTTTTTTTCATTAAATTTTCTGATTTTGAAGTTTTATATTGTATTTAAAGTTAAGTTAATAGGTAATGAAATTGTAAGGTATTATTATTATTATATTATGGCCATCCATGTAGATTTGTGTTATAATTGTTTTTTTTTTGTTTTCGTTCTTCTATTTTTTTATGTAACAACATCAATAGAAGCAACAAAGAAAAAAAATAAGAAGAAGAAGAAATATAATAATAAAATAAACATCAAAAATTAATTTTTTAATTTATTAAAATTCAAGTCTAAAGTTTTCAATATTAATTTCAACTAATCAATATATATATATCTGTTAAGTGAGATTATCATATGATGGCTTCGTTTTGCAACATTGTTAGATTTGAATGCCTAAGAGTTATGTATAAAATCAATAAAATAACGATTGCTAGGAATTATTTCTATGGAAAAGTTATAGTAACAATCGTCACTTATTTTCTACATATATTCTTATGTAAAATTATTAAAATCATTTCATTATTAAAAATTTAAATCGATAACTATATTCTACTATGTGTCGTCTAAAAATTAGATTCAATCAAGTCTTATTATTATTTTTTAATATGTGCAAGTCAATATAGTTTAATTTAAATGGATTCGATTATTTTGCACTTTACCCTTATGTCAATACTGAGTTAAAGATGCAAAAATAAAAATCGAACGATTCTTTTCTTTTTCTCGAATATTCTTATCAAATCTTTTCTTCAAAAAGTATGTGAATATTATTTTAATCGACATTTACATAAAGTTATTAGTTTTTTTTTTTTTCTATACTTTATCATACAATAACGAATTTTTAAAAACATTATTATTTTTCTTGTTACAATGTGATAAAAATTCAAAGACTAATTTGATATTAATCTTAGATATATACAAAATTTGCTATGAAATCTATTAATTTCAGTTCAAATTCATAGATCTTAATTGAAAAAAAATCAAACATATTTATCACATTGAACGTTATTCTAGTCAAAAATTTCTTTTCTTTTATCTGAATATTTGATGTCCTACAAATAATGTCTTATCATTCGAGTATTAATAAAAATACATATCGGACAAATAAAATAAATAACATTATTGTATCCAAGTACATGAATGCATTATTTTTCTACTTCACCTGAATATATTGTCTTAATTATCACATTCTGAATTCTTCTTGTAATTAACTATCAATTTAAAAAATGTATGATAGATAATTAAATTTTTATATTTAATAAGTAATAAAAGATTTAATTCAAAAATGAATATTACTATAATCTTTTGAGCTTAGTAATCATGTACGTATGTTTAATATAGATCGAAATTGATACAAAACTGATGTTATCAAAATAACGAGATTTTATTTATTTCAAGTGCACTTTAAAATATAAGTGAAATGATGCTGGTTTTTTGTTTCATTATTCCATATGTTAAAGAACAGATGCGATCAATTATATAAAAAACGATTAAAAATAGTAGTTTTGTTTGCTTAGTTTCATGTATAAAAAATAGACTTTAATTCAAAATATAAAAAAATATTTTTTTATTGTTGTCATTTTATGATAATACATCGGAACTGATTAAGAAAAAAAAACGCATACTAAAATAATGATTGAATAATTTTGTGAACTAGATTTCATTTTTCAAAAAATGTAATTTCTTTCAAAGATAAAATAACCAAAAAGAAACTATGAGAAAATTATGACGATTTATCAGCTGTATAATCATTTCGTCAATAACGAATCATATTGACCGAAAAGTTTATGCAAATATGAAATTTCATTTTTATATTCTCGTTTGTTAGTAGGAGGGTGAGGGCAATTTTAATCTATTGATAACACTTATGGTTTTTGTGCCTATCGCATTTTCAATGGTAATCAATCAATTTGATTGAAAAAAACAAAAAAAAAAATTTTTTTTTTTCTTGTCCTAATTTTCAGACGTACACATTTATCAAACTGTTAATTGATATTAAAACATAAGAGT